AGCACATCCTTAGCTAAACAAGAATACTAGTTTCATAGTATCTTCACAGTGAGCTTGGTCAGTCCCTGTGAGGCAAAGCACCCTAACTGCCCTCAAGGGATAACATGATTATTAGCAGGCCTGCTCCGGCTTACAGGTATCCATAGTTTGGGCCTTACTGCTGATACCATCCTTATCTCTTTCAAGGCCAGATTCAAGTATGTGGTAATTAGTTGTGAGAACCTGTGCTTGATTGGCAAACTCCAGAGGATGGCGGAAGACAGGAGGGCCTGGCGTGATGTGGTCCACGGGGTCGCGAAGAGTCGGTCTCGACTGTGCGACTGAACAACAACAAAGTGCTCAATTGTGTAACTAGATGGGAGGGGGAAGTTCGGAGTGGATGAGTTCCATCAAGCAAGATCCCTGATTGGATCCCAGAGACCACCTGGTGCCAGAGGGCAAAGGACTATAATAAGCCTAAAGGCCTTATTAAAGGCTAACACGCTGTAATATGTTATACTACAAGGAAAGAAAAAGAAGAGGAACACAAAACGTAACCCAAGAATTATGAATTAAGAAACTAAAAGATACAAATAGGACACCCCAATCTTAAATCAATAGTTATAGAGCATTAACGTACAGAAAATACAGGTTATCAGAAAGACATCTATTTATTACAAATTATTTTAAAAGTTATAGGCCCAAATGCAGTCTCAACAAGAATTAAAATCATACAGTATTCATAAACAGGACCTTATGTGACTCAACGCATTTCAGCCAACTGGCCTTCTTCTCTGGTTAAGCATAAATAATACATGTAGGCTCAATGTTGCAATAATAAAACAAAGTATTAATCAATATAGGACCAAGTGAAAATTATAATAATTAGCAGTGGTCCAAAGCTAAGGTGTACAATAGAGGCCTCATACGATATCGCCTTGTGTCCTAATCGGCTGCATAGAAGGTACTGCAATAATAAGCCTTCCTATTTCAAATGCAGTCTAGAGTTCATGTGTCATAATAGTGTGTAGAAGTACATTCCGCTGGCTTTCATCATAACATTGATAAAAAAATTCAGTTCCACTAAAAATCAGGAGACAGTATTGTTTTTAAGTATCAGTATCTATATATCAGTATATATCAGTATATATCAGTATATATCAGTATATCTATATATCAGTATCAGTATCTATATATTGATGGCCAAGATGCCCCCTCTGTGCAGATATTTAATTCCGCACATCGAGGGCACTTGGGGGGCAAAGAGATTTTCCTGCACACTTGGTGCACTCCCCAGGTGTGCAGAAAAATCTGAAAAGTTTTAAAAACTATACGGGGGATACATAAAACCCCCCCAAAGTAAAAGAGCATTCCCTATGCATGTGCAGAGAATGCTCTGGGAACTCTATGGCATGACTGGCAGCTGGGAGCCCCTCAGGCCTCGCCGCCAGTGCCCGGGGGGGGGGAGATCAGCAGGCCTGGTGGCTAGGAGCCACTCAGGACTCGCTGCTGGTGCTGGGGAGGAGCGGGGGAAGATCGGGCCCGACAACTGGGAGCTGCTCAGGTCTCAGTGCTGGGGGGGTGGGGGAAGATCGGCAGGCCTGGTGGCTGCTCAGACCTCACCATTGGTGCCCGGGGGGGGGGGAAGATTGCCACCAGTGCCCGGGGGGGGGGGAGAAGGCTTACCTGCAGCCGCTTCCTCCTCAATGCAGAGCTGTTTCTCCCCCCCACACACGAGTATCGCAGGTCCCACCTCTTGTCTACATATCTAATTCCCAACTGGGCCCCCCATGTGCGGATACTTATTTCCACAGATAGGGAGCACACGGAGGATAAAGAGATGTTTCTGCACACTTGGGGTGCAGACCCAGGTCTGCAGAAAAATCTTACATCTTTTAAAAACTTTACAGGGGATGCTGAAATCCCCCCCAAAGTAAAACAGCTTCCTCTGCACATGTGCACAGAACAGACTTACTCGGGCAGAGGGAACTACTGGCATGAGAGGCTGTTGCCTTTCGCCCCCTTCGCCTCTTTCCATCAGCACTCAAGCAGGATTGGCACCTGAAAAACCAGGGCCTTCCTTCCCTTCTCTCCTTTATGGCCCAGTTACCAGTCACCACGAGTTTAATTTAGTCTGGGTCCCGACCACTGCATCATACACTGAGGTGGAGTCGGACTCTGTTAGGAGGAGGAGGGAGAGGAGGGGGGGCACCTTCCCCTCACCTCCCTCATCCAGGTTGGAGTCTGCTGTAATGCTACTTCGCTTGGAGGTCTTCCATTTCTGGGCCGCCACAACCGGCCATTCTCCTCTGCCAGCGAGTGCTGGCACTGGCAGAGCAAAGGCAGGCAGACGAGGCCTGCAAGGACATGCAGGTGCAGGAGGGCAAACAAGGCTGTGTTGCCATGGTGATGGGAGGAGGCTACTGCTTGGAACATTTATTGGGAATCTTCCTCTGCCTCCTCTCTCCTCACCCAAACAGTGAGGATAAAAGGCACCCTCCCCGGAATATTAACTGGAGTACCTTTTCTATAGAGAAAGGGAGGGGAAGAAGCATGAAAAGCCCCTCTAGATCAGGTCATACAGTCTAGCAACTGTCCAACAGAAATACATTAATGGGTAGGATCCTTTGCAGTACTCTGAAGAAGCTGCTAGAGCCGCCCCACATACACCCCACCTGCTACCACAGGGACCACCCAGGCACCACTGCCAGCTCAAAGGTAGGGAAATAGAAGAGAGAAAGGGGAATATGGGGGGTTATTGGCTTGGGGGAGAGAAAGTAGGATTAGGTTGGGAGGAAAAGAGAAGGGGAAAGATGAAGGGGTACTGGGGTGTGAAGAGGGGGGTAGGTGGGAAGAGAACAAGGGCGGGGGGTGAGTGAATGCCAAGGGTGGGGAATAGGTGGGAAGAAAGCAAGACTGGGGGTGAGTGAATATGAAGCGTGTGCCAAGGGTGGGGATAGGTGGGAAGAGAGCCAGGGTGGTGGGTGAGTGAATGCTAATGGTAGGGGTGTAGGTGGGAATACAGCAATGGTGGGGGGTGAGTGAATGCCAAGGGTGGGGAGTAATGGAGTGCCAAGGGTGGGGGTGAGTGAATGCCAAGAGTGAGGGTAGATAGGGAGATCAACAAGAGTGGTAAGTGAGTGGAGTGTCAGTGGTGGGGGGTAGTTGGGAGATCAGCAAGGGTGGGGATTGAGTGGGGTACAAAGGGTGGTAGGGGATAGGTGCAGAGAGCTGCAAAGTGAGGGTAAGTGAAGTACCAGTGGTGGGTGGTAGGCGGGGAGAGTAGCAAGGGTTGGGTAGACTGATGGAGAAAATGTGGGGTGGGGCAAAAGAGATGAGGGTTAGATTGACAGATAAGAGAAACGGGAGAAAGGAGTGAAATAGGGGGCAGGTTGACAGATAAAGAAAATGGGAAGGGGGGAATGAGGAGTAGGTTATCAGAGAACGGGGATAGATTGACATAGAAGGGATGGGGGCAAAAGAGATAGGGGTAGATTGACAGATAAGAGAAAGGGGAGAAAGAGAGGGACGATTTACAGAGAAAGAGGAAGAGGGAAGGAAGTAAAGAGGGGGAAGGGATTCACCCTCTCCACAAGTTTCTTGTGGATCTCCAACTGTATAGCATATTTCACACAGAAGCTTCTTCCACGTACATATGGTTAGGATCAAGATGAAACATAAACAAATAGTTCTCAAGCATAAAAATGAAATCTAAGAAGTTGCTGTTTGAAAAAACAAACAGAATGGTTAAGCCACATTCATGGTAATGGATTAGAATTAGCAAATGTCTTTACCTTTCATCTGTAAGCCAGGACTCCATCGAATGATTAACTCCAAATGCATTTTTCTAAAACAGACTAAGTTTGCTTTAATACATATATGCTGTTAAACAAAACAATCCTTACTTTTGACGTATAATTTTATAATATCTAAATATCAGCCTCTTCCATATGGATCAAGATCAAATCCCTCAAACACATTTTAGCATACATACTCTGTATTTACACCAAAAGACATGTCATTTCAATTCACCTTAAGATCTCTTTTTAAATTCACAAATGTATTAATTATTTTTACAGCAGAAAAAAACTGCTTTTGCCTAAATCATGCATGGCTAGGGTTATACACATCACAAATTATCGTCAGAAATCAGAATAAAAATCTACATCAGTTATTTATTTATTCACTTCATTTATACCACAACTTTGTCCCCATGGGGGCAAAAACTCTGCCGGGGGGGTTCCACTTTTCCCACCCCATGCATCTCCCCTAACCTGTACACCGTTTTGTGATGCTCACTGATCTGTGCTATTTTCGTTGCTCTCAACAAAAGTTAGTATACAGATTTTGCTTCTGGAACTTTTCAATAGATGTGATCTCTGCACATCAGATTACCTCTGTGGACAGTGCCCATGTACATTCCCCAATACTAATAGTCCTATTTACCTGTACAGGGGTAGTTCTTGGGAGCTTCTCTGTTTGATACTGTCTGAGCACTGCATTTTGGTTCTGATCTGAAACACATAAATCTCATAACCTGAAACAGACAAATTATTTCTTTTGACAGACAGCTGCAGCCTGGTATTTTGAATAATGCATTTACTTTATCAACTCATTAGTTCAAAAGAATCCAACAATTTATCTAGATCATATTATTCAGTTCTTTCACACTTATACTATTCTCCTTACATGTATGGATCCTACCTTCTGAAAAGTCTTTAATAGAGAATTCTTGTCAAAAACCTTTCTGACATGCAGATACTTTTTTCAATGCCATCCTAGGTGGACGAACATACTTTTGAGCCTACTGACTTCAATGGACTCAGAAAGGTGTAACTGTCTAGGACTGCACTGTGTCTACTATACTGCCTATGACTATAGTCTCAATACTACAAGCTTATCAGGAATAAAAGTTAGTTTCGCAGACCTTTTATGTCTTGGATCAGTTTTTTTTTAAAAAACTGGTGCGCCATTGATCACCTTCTATTTACCATCTTGGGAAACAGATCTTACTACATTGCAGGATTGTAATTACAGTCTGCACTTTAACACTTGAAAAATCTTTTCAATTGTCTAGTTTGAAAACTTAGGGCAATTAACAAAGCTTTCCAAAACATTCTCTTCTGCCACAGAAAGACATTTTTATACAATAAAAATATTGACTATGCTTATCAAAATGACATAATCTACTCAAACACACAAAAGAGCATGGATTTTAGCATCAGTTAATGTGCAACTTACTCAGATCTCGCGAAGCTTCTGTTGCCATTTGATAATTTTAGCTGACAGGTTTCCAACTGATTCCCTCCCTCCAGCAGAAGTACAAAATCTGCAGAAACCAAATAAATATAACTTTCAAACATTATATTAATTTACTTGTATTATCATTTTTAACTTTAACTCTCTTCAGGATTTGGAAATGTTCTGTTCTTAGCATGTAGTGCAAAGCATTCTACTTTTTTATATACAAACATTTCCACATATGCTATCAGAAGTTGTAGAGAAAGCTTTCTCATCTATATTTTGAGGCTCCAATTCATTTTATAAAATTTAGAGCACTGATAGTTTCCATGATTCATTCAGACACTAATGAAACACTCAGCTATCATATTTCTTTAAAAATGTAGCTAAAGAACTCATAGTACAGCCACAGGTAGAAATCCATAGAATGTTGAAGGGCACACTCCAGAACCACTGACTGAAAAGACCTTGCAATAATTACACAACATCCCTTTATTGATTTGTTTACTAAAGAAAAACACTAGAAAAAAACCTGCAAGAATTTTGACATTATTCTGTCAATTGTTGGAATGACTAATCAGAGCCTTAAATAATAAGCTGGAACGTAAAGGAAAGCTCTATAAAAGGCCTCAAGCCCCCAAAGTCCAAATATTTAAACATATATAAGTACAATCTTATGCAGTACTGAATTCCATGAGTTTAGATTGGAGTAATTCTGCATAGGATTGCACTGTCAGTATTCTGCTGATTACATCTCTACAGACCAAACTCAGTGTATTTCACTCTTCATAGAGTGGCATATTTTCTTTTTCTAGTCCTAATGTAATTCCAGCTAACAATCATTCCTTTCATCATGCCTTCCTTTCACCAAATTCAGAATTACCCTAATCGGCTGAAGCAGTCTGAAAGAGCCGGCCCCATTAACACACAACTCTGCAACATATCCCCCTGTCTCAAGAAATATAAAAGCACCTAGTTGGGACAGCACGTGTTAGCAAAACCCAAGATCCTCAGAGTATCCCACCCTCCCCAATTTTCCTTTGGAAGCTGAATACACACATGAAGCTACCTCATACTGAATCAGGCTATTAGTCCATCAAGGTCATCATCTACTCAGACTGGCAGCAGTTCTTTTATCTGGAGATGGCAGGATTGAACCTGGGACTTTCTGCATGCCAAACAAGATGCTCTGCCACTGAGCCACAGGCCCACCCTTTAAATGGTGCTATTTCAGTTACCAAGGGTATAAAACATGAACACAGCAGCCCTTCTCACTGAGACACTCCAGGTCCAATACCACTGCCCCAATGAGGACTACCGGGAAAGGGGGACAGGGAGAGATCAGGGTCAGATCCCTTCTGGTTTAACCTTCCTATGAAGATCAGCCAACACTGAACCACTTGCTGTCCTCTGCCAGGGAGTTCTCTGCTCCCAATTCATGGAAGTTCCACTGTAATTGAATATAAGAACGCCCTGTTCTGAAGCCCCTGGCACACTTACCTAGGGATATCCAAATGAACTCGGTGGTACTTACTTCCGAGTAGAACTGCAGAGGGATAGCTCTGTTATTCTTTTGTAGCAAAATTGGACGCTAGTTTGCAGAAGCTTATAGTGGAATAAAATTTTGTTAGTTTTCACAGGTACCAAGAGTCCTCTGTTTAGATTTACCCTGAAGCAGGCGTGTAGTGCTTACTGAAACTACTTAAGAGAAACGCGTTCTTGGAGAAAACGCCCTGGGATTATACAAATAATTCCTTCGTCAGTTTCCTCACGTGCTTCCCGATTCCGACACAACACGACTCGCGAACAGTTGAAAGCCCGCCGCCGCTATACACAGAAAGGGGAGTCCAGCCGTCAGAAGAAGGAAGCTCCTGGGCCGCGCTCAACGACGTCAGCTTCCCTCCCTGTCCAATCAGGGGTCTCCTCTGGAGAGGCGGCGCGCGCCTCCCGATGACTTTCCACAACACCGCCAACGATTTCCTTAACGACAGACCTAAGTGATCCAGGACGCGTCACATGATTCGAAGAAAGATGAGCCAATCGTATCCTAGGTTGAGCTGGGAGGTGACTTTTCCGTTAGTTTGAAATGTCACCTGCTCGCCTATCCCTTCCTCATTCTCTCTTCAGAGGTGCTGGAAAGTAAGCGGGGACGATGGGCGGAAGCGTGGTCTCCTTTTCCTTCCCTTTGCCTGCTTCTTGGGTTTGTGGGGCAAGTTTCTTCTTGTGGGGCACCCATTATGCTCACACTTAAAGATAATAAAGATTTACTCCCACCTGGAGTCTGGCATTCCTACCCCTCCTGCAGCTTGATGCAGAGCCGCGGCCAGCGATAGGCGAGAGAGAGCGGCTGCGGCGTGGGATTGGAGGGCGGCGGGCGCAGCACGGCTTGCCTGGCCAGCTTGCCGGCAAAGGGAGAGAGCGGCCGGTAAGAGAGCGCGGTGCAGGGCTTGCCGGCAGCGGTGATGAGCAGCCGGCGAGAGAGGGCGGCGCGGGGATTGCCAGCACCCTCCCCATCGGGCCGGCCCTGCTCAGCTCCTCCAGGAGCTTCCAGGAGTCATATTTGCCGGCGGCAGCGAGCGTGCAGTAAATTTTAGAATTCCAAAAAATGGGAAGTCGGGGACCCTGGGCTGGGTGGGGAGTTGGGGGCCTTGGTGGTAAGTCGGGCCCCGCAGTGTTCCCTCTAAACCGAGTTAGTGTGAGCTAGCTCACAGTTTTTTAGCTTCCGGATCACACATTTTTGTCTTAGCTCAGGAAGGATGGCTCCAGAGCAAACTAATGCAGTAGCCATATCACTGGCTCACAATTTTAATGCCAGTACCTCACAAAGTAAATTTGTTGCTCACAAGACTGCACATCTTAGAGGGAACATTGTTGGGGTGTGGGGCTGGGCACTGAGAGGCCCCACTATAGCTACGGGGCTGGGGAAAGGGCTCTTTGGCTTGGGGGGGGGGGGCTCAGCTGACCACTCTTGGCATAGATGAAATGACTAAAAGCTTTCTTCTCTCTCCCTCAGTTATCGGGCCCCTTTCCTTCCTATCATTAATCTTCATCAAGAACTCCATTGGGAGTTCCTTTCTCCCAGGCACATCCCCAACAGGACTTCTGTTTGTCAACAAGCAGAAATTCAAGCCTCAGAAGCTTTTCCTGCTGTACGGCTCTTAAAGGTACAAGGCCCCTTGGTAGGGGGAAAGTTGGCAACCAGGATCCAGGGCTAACGGGAGTTTTTCAGTTGCGTTAAGACAATGGAAATGTATGCGGTTTGGCTTATCAGTTTAAGCGAACTCAGATCCTCATTAAGGGACTGCGTGCTGACGACAGGGCCTGTCAATGGAGGATGATGGAGATTCACTGATTCCTTAAAGAAGATGCTTCTGGCAGTTCCTTTTATTTCCATTGATGCCAAACATGGCTAGGAAGAGAAGGCCTGTCTACGTGCTCTTTGGTGAATCTGTGCTGAAAGAGAGATTCTTGCAGGTTGCACCCTCCACTCTGTTTTTAGCCAGGCACGCCATAGCAATGGGGAATGGAAGTTTCTGTTCTCCCTCTATTAGATTCTGAGGCCTAAGGTTGGATGATGAAGGTAAATGACACCATTTTCCATGGCAATTTTTGCATGGCTTTAAGATGGGCAATGTGAGTTGAGTGTCCAATGATATTTTGTGTCTGTAGAAGTATTGGTCCCACCAAGAGTAAAATGTTTAACATAAACAAGCCCTGTACTAGCTCAGCACAAGTTAATCTGTTCAGAAGAGCTTCTACTCAGTGTTTTGGCTTTGGAAGACTCTCAAAGAGTGTCGTAATGTTGACCAGCTAACAAGAACACTCATTGTATGGAATTAATAGACAGATGGTATAGACAAGCACTTACTATGGGATGGGAATGGGAATTATGCGTGAAGGGGCTGCACACTGGAGTTGTTTGACCCTAGAATTCCAACGAGAGTGAGACTATCATGTTACGCACCTGTTAGAACACTTTTACAGTTCTGAAATGCAGCTGTATCACATGAATCGGATTTTATAACTGAAAAAATGTGGTAATCTTTTTAAAATTGCAAACTGGAATACAACTTTACATCCTCTGGATTTGTTAAAAATTTTATTTAATCCAAGGCTAATCTTGGCACCAGTATTTCTTAGCACCAGTTCTTTTGAGAATATATGTCTTTATCAGGAAGATGGCAATACATATGTATATTTGTAAGTTAATTTTTTGATCACTGTGGACACCATGTGGTGAAACTGGGCAGGAACAGACAGGCATAGAGTGCCACAAGAAAAGTACAACATTCCAAGGTATTTGATCCTCAACATGGGGTTAACTGAATGATAGTTCTTAGTGGAACTTCCAGTTAAATATGGAATCCACCCATATGTGTCACAGTTGGTTTATAGTCCCCCCAAGGGGGGGGGGAGATTGTATCTCTAGTTATGCCATTCTTGCATGTTCTAGAAATTACTGGCAGATTGTAGAATGATATTTTGGATACCATAATATTTCAGTTAAAGTACTATTTATATAAGCGATTATTTTTTCTTGCATGTTGTACCCAATTGCCATGTACCTCTGTGATGTTCGTTTGAACAGTTCTGGATTTCTATGAGGTATGACTTTTCCACATATACTGAGAAATTAACTGTTAATTTAAAAAAGATTGAGTAAATAATATAATTTATTTAGAAGCTATAAGACTGTGTACTTGCATGATTACCTTAATGAAATGTTTGTATCAGAAAAGCGATGTACAGTTACACATTTTAGACAGGGGACTAACAATGTTCATAGGGGATAGGGAGGACAACATATATTCATTTAATTGCACACACTGTCACTGCATGGTGTAAACGTCTTCTGGCTTGGCTCAGTCATTTTATGAACGGCTGCTTGTCGATGTTTGTGAGTCAGTCATATGAGAAATTTTTTTCGCAGAGTAAAGTAATCAAAAGCTTTACTGCCAAACATCTTAGTAGTATTTTGGGCTAAATCTAAAATTTTTATGTTTACATCTAAAATATTCAGATGGAGTTTAAAATTGAACATACGTGGAATGGCTTTTCAGTGTCTCATGATCCTGTAACAATTAGGCTGGCTCCTGCCAATGCAGGACTGTTCATGGATGTAACTGCTCCATTTTATAATGATCCGCCAGCTCCTCCCAGTGATCCAGGAAAACCATTCAATGGACTATGGGATTATGAGGGTAAGTGAAATAATTTGAGATCTTATATTTAGGGTACTCTGGCAATAAATCCTTGCAGAAAGGTTGGTATTCCTATCAATAGGAACACCAGCCCCACATTGCTTGAGTGGATAAATACATGGACTAGTTGAGAATTCTGAACAGACAATTGCTTTTAAAGCACTTATGGCAGGGTAGAGGGATTGATTTCCTTTTTATTAAGATGTTTGAGGTTATGTAGCTCAAGTAAACGAGCATCAAGTAGCATTTGTGTATTGAGTATGCTACTTTAATCAGTCTTGAAACATGGCCCATTTTCATAAAACTGGTGTGCATTTTTATAGTTCTCTGTGCAGCTCTGCCTGCTATGTAGAGGAACATGTCAGTGTGCCTGTCTTGGCATTGTAGGGTAAACAAAATAATCTAATTGTCCAAATCTGATTTCCAAATCATGTCATTACTGTAAGACTCCTTGTAAAAGCTGTCACACAGCTTTTGCTTCGGAAAGTCAAGAAAAATTGAGTGCTATGAAAACTGCAGTGACAACCTATGGTGCAGAAGAGAAAAAGGTTTAGCAAGCTGCTAACATGGCCTATTAGTAAGTTTAAAATATATGTTTCTTAGCAAATGTGTAAACCTTAATGCTGGGCATGCATTTATAAACAAAGTATTTTTAGTTAATTATAGTGAATGAAATGTTGGTAATCAGTTACTTGTAGATCAAGGGTCCCCAACCTTTTTGCGCCTCTGGGCACCTTTGGTGGTGGTGGGTGCAACCAAAAAATGGCTGCTATGAGAGTCAGAGCCAAACACAAAATATCAGGGAGTGGGGTTGTGCATAACTTTAACACTTCAACCATTCAGGCAGACGCTCTGGTTAACTGGATGCATTTTGAACATATTGTTTAAAATATATTCTTGCATATACACATCTTATCTTCATCGTGCAGTGAATATCCTTGTGCTGACGTGGCAGCTGCTGCTGAAGTAGTTTTTTGAAAACCTGCACAACTAATCAGAGGCCCTGCTGAGCAAAAGCCCCACCTATTTCTAGAAACACTTGGTGGGCACCAGGAAAAGTGTTAGTGGGTGCCATGGCACTCAAGGGTGCCACATTGGGGACCACTGCTATAGATAATATTACTAAGAGCTGATTTTGACATTATGATCCTGTAGTCACATCATTAACACACCTTCAGGTACTGTAGTGCAAGTCTTTGTCCTGTTGGAAAGGTTGGATAGTGTTTGAGCTTCCATGACTCATGTTTGCCTTTTAACTTTAATACATTATAAAGCTATGTCTTGGGCCAATTAGAACTGAAATCAGATCTCTGGCTAATAGCTACTTAAAATACCCATCTTTCATACTGGATAAAAATTTTGTTCATCCGAAAGAAGAGGGTAAAATCTGTTACTTTACATCTAAGTTTAAATAGGTCAGTTACAGAAGCGTCATCTCCAATCATTTGAAAGTAAGTGAGCTGAATTCAGAATGGGTTGGATCTTATCGTTTTTTTGCTGGTACAAGCAATAGAGGGGCCTCTTGACCACCAAAAACACTATCTGAAGATTGTAAAACCCATGTGGACAGGCAGGATGGGGGGTGAAGAGAGAAAATGAGCATGTTAAAATGTTTGTAACATCCCACCCATTGTATTTGGGAAAGGATCTGTTTCTATATACTAACTCAGGTTTTTAAGTAGTCACCTGTCTCATTAAGACATTCCTCAAGTAACAACACATGAATGCTTACAAAGGTTTGGCTAGTAAACTCTTCTGTGGATATATTTGCGACTCTATTCTAATCTCTTTCCTCCTACTTCCCTGGTTACAAATTCTCTGCACTATTATGTTCACTACAATTCCCCTGATTTCCACTCTATAGCTGCTTGATTTTCAATGCTACAAACAATACTTTGGATGTATAGACATGCAACAGGAATATATCCATGTTGAGCAAAACTGACAATTTTTGTATGAACAGCCAGACCATATTGCTCCATATTATCTACTTTGATTGCCATTGGCTCTCAGACTGAGAATGGCCTTTCCCAACACCTACTATCTGAGCTCCTTTAACTGGAGATCTTTAGTATAAGGAACCATGTGTTTGACCTCCAAGCCTTTGCCATTTCCTCTTTTCGTTTTTAGTCTCCAAATACTGTTATTGTAGAAACAGTTTTAGAAACAAGGTTTCTAAAAGGTATGTGCAACAAAACTGGCAAGGTAAAATATGTACAAAAGAAGTCACTGATCTACTAAACTCATATGCCGTTCTAGGACAGACCAAAAGCCATGAGTTAAAATACTGAGACTCCAGCTCAGCCCAAATTGAATTGTTTTGAAATGGTTGCTACTGGAGTGACCTTAAGTATGTTTTTACAACTGATAATTGGCGTCTGCAAGAATGTCAGTTGGCTGCAGGTTATCTACTCCTAGAGAATGTATAAAGCATTTATCCCTTATAGCTTTGTTCTCCTGGGCAAAGAAGGAATCATTGGTATGGAAGCAATTTGCATTGTATCCTTACCATCTTACTCCTTCTGTTGACCCCTGCTGCACTAAAGTATAGCAAAAAAGTAGCTTAAGTAGGTTTTTCATGCGTGTGGATGAGATTCATCTCCCAGATTCATCCATGTTCAGTCCATTGCTTTAGGGGTTCATTGCACCAGCTTCCTGTAGTTAAGGTTTTTACTTGTAGTAAGTGATTGCTCAGTTTTGCTCAATTTCACACTGCAGGATGCCAGTGAAGAGTTCCTAAGCTTCATATACCTTAGTAACAGTTTATATCAGGAGAGATGTAATCCCCTCCCCCAATATCTTTAGGCGGCAGAATTGATCTATTTTTTCCCTCTCTGTCAATAGATGTGTTATACATTTAGTTTAAGCAACAGTAAAAGTAATTAAAGCTATGAAAATGTAGAATGGAAAATAAAACTAAATATATGAAATGTAAAAATAATATTGGATGAAATAAGTACTTCTGGTTTATGTGTTCTTAGTCGTAGAAGCTTTCTTCTTGAATGGCCAGACTGAGCAGTATTTAGAAGTGGAGCTCTGTCCGTAAGTAAACATTTTAAAACATTTTAAAACTTACCATCATCTGCAGTTATACTTTGTGAGCCTATTGCTTAAATGCTGGATATACGATTTTGTGGGTGATTTTGGAGAATTCCTAACACTTTGTACAAGTGAAATAAAAGAACCTAGTTCAAGGAACTCTTATTCAGATATTTCTGTATCACTTCTATTAATGCCTGTATGTTTGAAGTTGATCTGGAGCTTTAGAAAATAACTGTTCTATATTTTGAAGAGAAGGAAATGTTAGGGTGTGTCTCTATGCATACCCTGGCCTTGTAACCAAAAAGAGAAGGACAGTAGAATAAAGCTGCAAGTACAGGGTTGTACATTGAGTAAAAAAGAATGACATAAAGATGGGTAAGGCCAGAGTCTTCAGTGGTAAAAACTGTTATATGCCTTTCTCTTCTAGTTAAGATATTCCTTTCTGAGGTAGGGGCAGGAAAACATGTTGTCTTGGCTGTCCTCAGCAATAGAGGATCAAGTGAAAGAGTAATCAGTATCACTAAGTTCCACATTGGACAAGGTTCTTCTGTCTTTCATGACTGATGTGAAAATGTTGGGAGGTGGAAGTTCTCTCAGTTCTGCATTTACAAAATTCTGCTTCTAAACTGCTATTAATGTTAATTTGTCTTTGAAAATACTAATCTCCTAGTGCCCACTTCAGAGAGAACACTCATGGCTGAAATAATCAATACTTTTAAAAAAAACAAATGCAAAGTAGATTGCTTTAAGTTGATTAAGGTCAACATTTCGTCTTTATTATTTGGATACTTTCTCAACAAGCTAATTGTTTTCTGTAACAAAAAGATTATTTGCTTTATAGTCCACCTATCTCATTTACGAGAATTCTGTAGTATGAGACAATACAATCAAATAGCATGAAGCATCAAACAAACTAGGATTTAGACTAATAGAATAGAATCTATATATCTAATAGCTAAAGTCCCTTTTGAGTGTATACTTATTTTTGTCAACAGAGAGCTCATTCTCTCCCAATGGCTTTTTCTACAGACTCAGAGGACTCTGGTCTGCAGAAAAATCCAAAAAGTTAAAAACAAAAACAAAACAAAGAACACCTTGGAGGGTTGAATACCCCCCAATACATTTTGAAATGGCCTCCACGGGAGCCAGTCACTCCAGGCGTCAATGGTGAGAGATTAGAATGTTCGGGGAGGGGGGCTTCTAACTGGCTCTGTCAGTAAAAAGTGGGGGGAGACCCTTTCCAGGCCTATTTTGGCCTTTCAGGGAGGGAACCTTGGGGCCAGTACCAGGCTGGGAAATTCCTAGAGGTTTTGTGGTGGACTAAGGAGGGCTGGGTTTGGGGAAGGGAGAGGCCTCAGCTGGGTATAATGCCACAGAGTCCACCCTCCAAAGCAGCAGTTTTCTCCAGGGAGACAGATTTCTGCAGTCTAGAGTTCAATTGTAATTCTGGGGGGGTCTCCAGGTCACACTTGGAGGTTGGCAACCCTATGCCTCGCAGCAGTCTAGGGTTTCCATGTCTCTCCAGCCACTGGCATGGGATGGGGGGTAAGGTTGTCAGATCCAGGCCGGGAAACTCCTGAAGATTTGGGGTGGACCCTGGGGACGACAGGGACCTCAGTGGGGTACTATGCCATAGGATCCACCCTCCAAAGCATCCATTTTCTCCATGGCAAATTATCTCTGTAGACTGGAGATGAGCAGTAATTCCAGGGGATCCCCAGGTCCCACCTGGAGGCTGGCATCCCTAGGCAGCACCCTCTGGGTGACTTGATACCACCTGATTTGCATGACTCAACTAGGCCTGGTTGCTTGCTACTCTTCAACAGCAGCCACCCTATGAAAGCCAGCGTGGTACAGCAGTTAGAGCTTCAAAGTAGGGTCTGCAAGACCTAGGTTCAGATCCCCAACTTCTGGCGAAAGCTGACTGGGTGATTTTGGACCTTTCAGCCTAATCAACCTCACAGGGTTGTTGTGCAGATAAAAAGGAGGAAAGAATAATGTAAGCTGCATTAGTCCCCACTGTGAAGAAAGATTTTCCTAGGTAGAGGCTGTGGAGGAGGGATGTGGAGACAGAAAGTTGAAGACAGATAAAGGTAGGTTGACTATTGGGTGGGAAGGAAATAGGGTTGCCAATTCCAGGTTGGGAACTTCCTGGACATTTGAGGGGTGGAGCCTGGGGAGGGTGGGGTTTGATGAGGGGAGGAACTTCAGACCAGTATAGTGCTATAGACTCCACCCTCCAAACCAGCAATTTCCTCCACGAGAACTACCATTGCCAGCCTCCAGGTGAGGGCTGGAGATCACCCAGAATTACAACTGTTGTCCAGGTGACAGAAATCAGTTACTCTGGATAAAATGGCTGTTTTGAAGGGTTGATTCTATGGCATTAAACCCTGCTGAGGCTGCTTGCCTTCCGAACCTCACTGTCTCAAGGCCCCACCCCCAAATCTCCAGGAATTTCCAAACATGGAGCTGGCAGCCGTAAGGGGAATTGATCTCTGCTGCTGGGAGATCTGTTGTGATTCCAGGAGAGCCACCACTGCTGCTGCTGCTGTGCAAGGTGGGGGAGGAGGAGAGCAGGAGACTGGGAGAGTGGTGGGAGCAGAAAGAGAGAGTGATGGGGTGGGGAGCAGAAAGAGAAAGAGTGATGAGGTGAAGAGGCAGAAAAACAAAGAGAATGATGAGGTGGCAGAAAGAGAAAGGAGATAACATACATGGAGGAGAGAGAGAGAGTAAGAAAATGTGGAGCAGAAGGAAGAAAGGGTGTGAGAGAGGTGGGGGGGGAGGGGAGGAAGCAAAGGTGTGAGGAATAGGATAACCATCCCGCAAGTTTCTTGCAGGTCTCCAATTGTCTTTATGTAATCTCCACTAACAAAGTAATCCTATGTAAAGTTACTCTTTGAAACATTCATTTATTTCAGTGCGTTTAGACTAGAGTAACTCTGCATAGGAATGCATTGCGAGTTGTTTAAATAATTAATTTCAGTAAATAATATACCATACACTGCTTTTATGCCAGTGTTCATAACCTCCAATTGGATGTCTTTTCTAATCTGCAGCCATGGCAGGTATTATAGACCAGTGCTGATTGAACGTTAAAACATGCTTTTCTTTTCTTTTAGCCAATGTTCCTTTCTACTATAGCTCTTCTCTTCTTTGACATATAACTGGTATGCCCTGCCCAACCCCACAAAAGTAAATAATCTTAACTAGAAGTGAGTACTGTTACTAGTCAGATCACTGTCCTGTATGAGACTGAAGGTAAATGTCCATGTTGCTTGGTAGGTAGTAATAAATATTTATAATTAGACTACTACAGCAGCAGCTGAGATTAAATAGTGTCTGTGCATCAAACAGAAGTAAAAGGTCACCCTGATGAATCAGTGGATGACAAATGGGGTGAATTGATGTCCTTGACCCTATTTATCATGTCTTAGTATGTGTATGAACTGTTGTGGTTACTAAGAAGAACTGTATGTAAAAATATTATGTTAAAAGGTTAATAAAATCAGTTTTTATGTAGTCCAGAATGTAGCAAATGTAGTCCTATATTTTAATAGCTACATAACTGGTGTTTTTTAGAAGTTGTATTTGCCTTTTAATAGGTAAGACTGTACTAATCTAAGAATAGTAATGCACCTCTGGCTTGCTGATATGCTTGTAAACATACTTGCAGTATGATTATACCATGTTTTCGTAGGCATGGACAGTATCTCATTTTGTTGCTTTGTGGCAGAAGGAAAATACTAAAAGTAAGTGAGCCACTTTCCCCCTTACTACTCAATCACCTACTGCTTGGAAGACCAGGCTAAGTCTTTGTCTTCCTTTAAATACAGCAAGAGCTTCCTTTAAAATTTGAAGTATCAAGAACAAGTGCTCAGTGGAATGGCAGAGCTCATCTTCCCTGGAGCTATCTTCCACCAGCTACTGACCAATTTAATGCTTTCGCAATCCATGGATCAGGTGTAGCTAGAACCTATGAAGCCCTCTATTGTGTACCACAACATGAGATGCAGAAGGATCAGCAACCTGATTTGTAAGTAGATCTGAAGAACTGTTTTCTATTATGACAACTGAAAGCTACATTGTTTTATTGCCTTGTTTACTGAGTGCGAAGTAGGAAGACAAAAACTGAATGAGGAGGATCTGCATTCTATTATAAGTTGTTATGGCAAGGATTTTTACTCTTCTTTTCCCCAGTCCATTACATTGAATGCTTTCTGAGGTCTGGGACATGCTGTGCAGTTCATATACGTTCATATCTGTGGAAGCAAAAGGCCTCATCAGTATGTGTCACTTACAGTGTGCTTCTCACTGTTAATTATGTGTTGCTCAAATGTCCACATTTTTTCAGTCATTCACCAAACCTTTTTGTAATCCCTGCTTCCTGATCTCTCTTTATGCAGGCCTAACTTTGGTTTAATTAAGTGTTATATTATTTTCCAGGTTTAGCTAGATGAGATGTTGGAAATCCAATCACAGAACTTTCAAAGCAACTGTAGCGGCCCTGAACTGGATTGGAACTGTAGTGATAGGGCAGTATATTTTTGATCATTTCCTTATGCCATTTTTGACGGTAAGAGGCAGGTCACTTCTGTTTGTCTCTTGCCTTGAAAACCCTATGGGGTCACCATGTGTTAGCTACAACTTGATGGTACTTTTCCACCACCACCACCACCAGTCCTCCCCCTCCACTCCAATTCTGTTTGCCTAGCAGGGCAACTAGCACTGGGAGAAGGATAACATAGGAAAAATAGCATGGGATGGTGAGGGGTTAACCTGTGTTACTCTCTTAATTCAGTTCAGAGGCCCTGTCAAGACAGAAGAGATTCATCATCGGATCATCCAAATGTCTTGTCTAGTTTGAGCCTGAGAGCTGGCTGTTTATGGGTGTCTGCTAAATATTTTGGCTTTGCTCGGAAAAGAATTCATTATCTGTAGAGGCTTATAGCAAATAAGGCATTTTAGAGTTAGAAAAAGTGCTTTTAAGGAGACAGCTTAGGTTTTTTTTAATGTCTTAAAAGTTTAACTCAGAATACTCTTCTTTATTTCAAGGGATACATTGTTTTGTAACAAATGTTAGAATACAGAATTGTTGATTATTTTATATAAGTTGAATCTATGTATCTATAATACAAATGTAAAAACTACTCTTCCTAATGTTTAGTTACTTATTTTTAGTACTCTTGACAAAAGAATATTACCTTGAAGTATAACGTGACTTGTTAAAATAGTTTCATTTTCCATGCACTTTTGTTTCAAATGAGTATCAGCCATTCCATGTAGGAATGTAGGAAAGTATGGGATGTAATTATGAAATCAGTTTGCCTAATAATTTGGCTTTAAAAGAGTAACTGGCATATTCATAAAATAAGATACCATGGCTTGAAGTGGTAAGGAGCAGTAAAATAATTTTTGTAATCAAAGTTGACATGACGGATGTGTACAAAAATGGTATTTTGGGGGTTTTGGTATATTGAACCCAAACAATATCAGTATTTCCTAATAGTGATATGGTATTGGGATTTGAGAAATAATCAGGATTGCCAATTTTTTTGGCCTCTGCATTTAAAGGAATGGTCCCTTTAGATGCATTTTGCAATTTGCACCACAAGTGAATCCCGAAAGGGGGGAACTCACTGCTTTGGAGTTCACTCATGGCACAGTTCACAAACCATATTTAAAGGGATAGTCCATTTAAATGCATTTGGTAAGCTATACTGCGAGTGAACCCGAAAGGGTGAACTTGCTGCTTTGGAAGTTCACTCATTGCATGGCTTGCCAATCGCATTTAAAGGAACTGTCCCTTTAAATGCATTTTGCAAGCTGCACTGTAAGGAGGGTGAGCTCAAGTCACCATTGGAGTTCACTTACAGTGTGGCTTGCAAAGGATCTGCGTGCAGTGGGAGAGTGTCTCCCTGTTGCATGCAGACTTGGCTGGGAGGCTTCTGTCTGCCTGCAGTTTAAAACATGGGCCAGGATAAGCTGGCCCTAGGATCTGTATGCAGTGAGGAGGTTTCTCCCCACCGCACATAGACCCAGCTGGGAGGTTTCTCCTGCCTCACGGTTTAAACTGTGGGCCTGGAGAAGCTGCAATTAGGCATTGATGTATCAAGCCGAATAAAAGCCAAATGATATCGGCTTTTATTGGGATTCTCTATATCGATAGCCAGTTACAGATTAGAGAATCTGATTTGTCTTAGTAAATACCCTAATACTGAAAGTATTTTTCAGGTATGTTAGCCAAACTGCTTTATGTACAGCAGATGGCAACTAAATTTAATATGAGTTCTTGCCAACGTTTACGGAGGTCCTAATCCACCCAGGTAAGTCCCAGTGAAAGAGACGAGACTGGTGATTTCCAAAACAATTTGTCTTTTACTGAATAATATCAAAATCGCATACACACAAAACAGAATCACTCACACAAGCAATCAAGTTCCTTTAGAATACAGAAATAGAAAAATAGTTTCTCCTTTACTTAGGAGGTAGGTTGGTATACGTTCATACTTATCTTTCCCGAAGCCTTGTCTGATGTAATGAAGAATTGAGGGGTAAGAAAAATAGTACCTAGGGATGTCTCTAATTGGCACTCGCTAGAACCAGCCAGCAAAGCGTGGACCTCTTTGGCTGTGCACACTAAGAGATCAGAAATAGACAAAGGATTGTTGGATAGAAAGCTGGGCTTTAGGGGAAGAAAGAAGACAGGGGATGTTGAAGGGGTTTTGCGGTTAGCAAAGACCCATCACATGGTCCCTGCTTTTTATAGTTGAATCTCCAGGTGGGTGGCAACCTTGCCATTCTGTAAACCCACCTACCTGCAAGTCCATCCCATAACCTCAGTCATTGGTGCATGTAGTAAGGGGCAGGTACCTTAGGGGTTGGGCCAATATTTGAAACTCTAAACTCTAACTCATGGAAAGCCATCTGGTCAGGTGTGAAGTCTTGGCATCCTGGACCTTCCCTGATATACAGATAGATCTTGGCTTTCCCAGGCAATCAAGGCACCTTCCAATGGGAAATGGCTATTCAGATGCAGATCGGATCCATGTGCTGCGTGACATCAGGTCCTTCAGCAGTGGGGGATTTCCTCTCCTTAGTTGTCGTTTCTGCTAACAATGTCGAAATGTGCTTCTCTTTCCCATAAGGCTAGGAGCTGAATGTGTGTGCAAACCTTATTAACATAAAATGCAGGCAAGTGAAATCTCTCACAATAGGTAATGCAAGCAGCTTTCTCTATGCCTATGGGAATACATGTATGTGCACAATTCATGTAGATTGAGTGTCAGCAGATATAAACAGAAAGTATCAGTCTCTTTCTCAACTGGTAATTCAGGTTGGTAAATACCGACTCCACACCCCTAGTTGACACTACTGTTGGTATAGTTAAATATTCAGCAGGAACAGAAATGGTGGAAGTGCAGATGTTTCTAACCCATCCTAGTCTTTGCCTCTTTTCTTTTTTAGTCATCGTCTAGAATATTTTAAATGCTTTGACTTGAAAACATTAATGGGAGAAGGTTGGAAGCAGCCAGTATCAGTTTTCTGGGCACCGTGAGAACAAATAAATAAGACAAGAGGGTAAGCTATCAAGAAGTTCAAAAGCAGCAAGACTCAGTTTTCAACGAATTAGTGTCTGCAAGCATATAATCATTTTTAAAAGTGGGTAGTGGCATAAGGGTTGAATTTATGCTCAAACAGAATGAACTGTCATCAGTTTATATTTGCATATGCTAAAGAAAAACCTCTGACAAGCCAGTTTCACTAATGACTGTTTGCTGCTTCTCAACTTTCCTCTCCTGTGCAGTTCCAGTTACAAGCACTTTACTCCAAAGTCCCAGTGAAATCAATGGAACTGACTCCCAAATATGCCAGTTTACATTGTAGCCTTACTTTGATTTCTGTGCAACAAAGTAAAAAGGGCTAAACTCAAGGATACTACTGAGTTGAATAAAACAAACGACCTTTGCAGGGATTAATTATATTAGATGGCCAAAAGGTTTCAAACACTCACACCTTTCTGTGTGGCTGAGCTCATGTTTTATTGTAAATTCTGTGGAACACAGTAAATTAGCTTCATTTACAGTGCCATCCTAAACGGATTTGTACTCGTCTAAGTCCATTAAAGTAATTTGACTTGGAAGGGTGTAACTCCTTAGGATGAGACTAAAATCATCCTTGGAGTATGGTGAAACTTGCCCCTTGTTTTTGGCAGCGGGAAGTTTGATGTTTGCTAACAGTGGGGATAAAGCTAATTATAGCACCAGTGGAGAAATTAGTTGGATCCAACCCAAGTGTTTTCTTATGTGTCCTGCCATTTGTCACACATAAGTGACACTAAAAGGCATTTCTACATTTTAAAGGCTTTTGTATCTCTTGATAAATAGAAACACGTTTTCAGGCTTGTGATTTGTAGCTGTCAAGCATAATATTTTGATTTAGATCCCCAACTGTATGCTTTCTGTACAGGTCATTTCAACACTGCTCCTTTTTTCTGTTTCTGTGTTCCATTCCAGAACATCTCCAATAAAGTATTTCTTGTATTTGTATGTTACACAAAGATTTATTGCAGGTGCAAGTTGATTTCTAAACAAGAATCTGTTACAAGCAGCTAAATAGAACTTCTCTTTTTCTTTACAGATAGTCTTCGTATAAAAGTAAAGTTTTGCGAATCATGAGTTCTTCGAAGATTATTATTGAAGGGAATGTTCATGTGAACAGGATGTTTACTGATTTGAACTTCAAGCTATAGTGGTTATAGTATGTTTTCTAATAATTAACATCACTTATACAAAAAAGAGAATGCCAAAAAAGATGAACCAAGGAAGATGGTGTAGCAGCTAGGAGAATGATTTTAGATCCAGGACGTCCTTAATTCAAAACTTTGTCATGAATTTGTATTGTAGCTGCCATAAATTCACATTGTGGTCTTAGGCAAACCACACTCTCTTCTTCTAACTCCTCTGTCTGTAATACAATGATAATTTTGGCTTAGTTTTGAGGGTTGTGGTATGGACTAAAAATAATGTATGTACAGTACTTTGAACAATGAAAGTGCTATATAAAATCATTGTTATTGTTAATAATATAACTACATGTCTTTGAGTCTCCTATAGCTATTAGATTAACATTGGATTTTAAATATCCAGTGAAGTGCTCTAGTTCTTTCAACTGTACCTTATAGCTAGTAACTTTTACTGACAGCCTGTTAACTAGCTGAACAGTATGTTTTTGGTTCTGTCACCTACTATTATGTTTCTTATTACACCTACTGTGAATGGGTGCTTTTCCTCTTAAGAAATTCAAGACCTGGAGATGGTCACAACTGTATAGTTGTCTATTCATTGTGGACAAATAAATAATTTGATTTTTTTTTATAAAGTCTTGTTTAATTAGAAAATACTATTGTGAAAGAGTAATTATTTTAACATGAAGTTAATTATTGAACTGTTAATATATTGTAAGCTAAGAATAATCTGTTCTGTCTATTCACTGAATGTATCGAACAGGTTTTCTTTTCTCACACTAAACTGGTCTTGCCTAACTGTAAAGGAATAATAAATAAAACAATATTGATTCAGCTGGTGTTCTTTATCTTTTCCTATCATATATAGACTCAAAGTGAATATAGCTGGAGTTGCTCTGTTTTTGATTAGAACAAATCAACTCTTCCATTCTAGCATTGGGGCACAGTTGGAATAGAAAGATATTACAGAGACCTGCTCTAAATAAAATGCATAGAAAACCTAGGGCCAGATCTCATGGAGGATTTTTGCTGATGGAAAGCCTGAAATGCCCCCCAAATGCTGCATCAGGGGAGAGGGAGGTCTGCAGTGAGAGAGGGAAATCTGTAAAAGTCATGCATACTGTGTTCCACTCTTCTTCAAATGCAGAAATTCTCAATTGGCTCCAAGCCCTAGCTACTAGAACATCTGTATGAAGCACTTTTTAATGTTCCTAGCTTGATATGACACTTCCAAAAGACTTCTGTTCATGTGGGTGTCTTTAGAGGTGTACAGAGTCTCATAGATGGCACTAAAGGAAAATGTATACCGATAGGACAAGGCAGTGATCCATGAGGGGGTACAGTACAGTACAGGGTACAAAAAGCAGTCCCCACCACTAAGGAAGAAATGAATTGCTAAAAGCAAAGCATTGTGCCTGCTCATGCTGTGAAGTCAGCAAGTAAAAGATACTGGTGTATGTTCTCAAAGAACATAAGAAGGGATTTGGCAATGACTTGATGCTGTTTCTAGCAACTGTTCAGGGAAATCATTAGGACAGTGGTGAAAGCTGGCTTTTTGAGAAGTTTAAGCAGCTTTTAAAACTGACACTGGGAAAGTAAAACTTCTTTCCCACCACAGGATTCAAGAAACATGCTATGTACATCCCTATCAGACTTCCTAGTGGGTATCAACTTTGTGTAGTTAGGATTGGATTTTCCTACTACAACGATAAACATAGTTAGCAAAATCCAAATTGGGACTGAATGTTCTATAGTCCAAAATCCTATTATAGTGGCATCTGTAAACAAGACTAATGCATGTGATCAAAATAAAAAGTCTGAATGTATGAAGGCCATGGGTGCCCACTAGGGTACTGCAGAAAGAAAAGCTTGGTGTAGCAATACTTCATGTTCTACTTATGACTATTATTAATCTTGAAGTATACCAGAAATTCTACTCCAAATTGCAGTTTGGTATAATTGAATTGGAGAAGCAAGCCAATTTTAAGGGTCAGTTTGTTGCAGGGAAAAGCATTATTGTGTTTTCCCATTATGGGATCTAATAATCATGTGGGAGTGCTATAGATTACCTGTGTGGTAAGATCATAGGACCTATGGGATCAGGCTGTAGTGAACATACATGAAGCTGCCTTATACGGTCTACTCTGACTAGCAGTGGCTCTCCAGGTCTCAGGGTAGAGATCTTTCACATCACCTACTACCAGTCAGCGATGACATGCTCAACCCAACATTATCAAACTGAATGTTATGAAAGAATTTGCTTGTCTTTACAGTATTCCTGGAAGGTGGTACTTAAAGACCACCCTTTGGGATCTTTTCTTAGTTTATCTGATCACTTTCTCCCATAGTGAGATGAATGGGAATAGGTAAAGATACACACACACACACCCCCAAGCATATCATTTCAAGTGCCAAAACAGCCATGGAAATTATGTGGTTGTACTGGCACTTGAAAAGGCATGAGGTGAGGGGACAGTAGCACCTCAGTCCACCATAGTGCAGGCCCATCACTTTAAAATGGTGGTAGTGTCCCAATGGCAAATGTGCAGATGCTATTACATGTCATCTGACCCTGCATTAAGCTGCTGGGGTGTCTTTCTGCTTCCCTAATACCTGTAATGTACTGAAGCACTTAGAGACTAAAAGTCATTTTTTCCTTTGCAGTATGAAAGTTCTTTATTGTTTTGATAAGAAAAAGATGGATTTAGTCGAAAGCTATTAAACTCTTCAGGTTCTTGCAGCTAGCAAATTTGAGTTGGTTTAATACTATCTTGAAAATGCCTTCTGAAGCATTTTCTCATGATGTTTCTGAAATGGATGTAAGACTTTCCTCAAGATGACTTTTGTCCTCTATTGACTTAGATAACGGGAAACAGTTTCCAAAAGTTATGCGGTAGATACTGAAGATTAGGCTTGTGAAATTAATTTAAGATTCAAGTGTTCAGACCCTCCTTATTGAGTTTCAGGTAGTCTAACTATTCTGAAAATGATTGTCACCCATATTTGTAGGGTTGCTTATATAAAAACATCTAAAGAAAGCTGTCAATTCTTTTCATGATTAGACAGGTTAGAGAAATAATCCCTGTCAGCACTGGGAATCAAATCAATAGAAATCTTCCTTATTGGTTATTGTATTGTCGCTATAATTGAGCGTTCGACATTAAAGAAGTTCCTGAACATGTTCATAAAACAGAGAGATTGGAAATGCAGAGCTCCTGTTACTTTAACAGCCTTCCCTTTGATACTGTTAGGTGACTTTTTAACAATCCTTTCTGCACCCCCTTTCATATTTTCTGCCTATTTCTGTAAAGGTCTAACATGACATAACCTAAAACTCTGCATTCTGTTATTTACTTAGAATGGCTTAGATTCTACTGTTCTATTCAGCTTAAGTGTAGAGTTTTCTGTCTGCATAAGGAACAATCAGAGGAAGGCTCTTCAAGAGGTAAGATTCAATCCTATATATATAGACCACATTATAGCCCCAATGTCATCACAAGTAGTTTGCGGTAAAGCAAATTTAAAATGATTCACAAAACAGTTCAAATGTAAAAGCAAATTTAAAAATTTATAGGCTTATTGGGGCATTTTAGGGGGTGGAACAGGAAAAAGGTTGCCCCCCACAATCTCACCATCTCTGAAGCTGTCAGGTAAATGAAGAGGGAATGGGAGAGGAAAGGGGATGGTCGGAGGAAGGGGAAGTTTCTGGCCACCAGAAAACATTTTTTAATGGGTGAACTTCATGGAGTTCAGGCCTACATGAATTTCAGGCTTGGGGAAGTTGGTAACTATTACAGGACCCTCTTTTAGAACAAATATAATTCTGATCCAGGCAGAGTTTATAAACTGCCTTCAAGAGGAGCCCTGGGTAGATTACACTGTAGTAACCTCATCTACAAGTTGCTAAGGCATGAGTAGCTGTACCCAGATCCTTGTTTTCTAGTAGAAGATGCAGCTATTATATCAACTGAAGTCCATAAGTTTTCTGAGCCACAATAATTTCCTGGATATTGAGTATCGATGCTGAGTCCTAGTCTATCTCCAAAATGCAAACCTAGTCCATAATGGAGAACAATAATTTAATAATTTCTTGGAAAGATAGCTGTAGGTATGAGATTAATACAACAAATAGATATAGTATGGACATACATCTAAGGACCAGATAGGAGGCTGAAGTTGGTTCCTTATTCGCACTTCCTTATTCATTCCTTATTCGTTACTTATTCGTATTCGTGTAGTCATTCAGAAACACTAGGGAGAGTGAGTTGGAAAGCTCTGAACCCCAAACTAAAGTCTGGACCACCACATATCATATACCCCCACATTCACAGGACTCTCCCCTTCGAGGGGACATATGCGGTGTGCTGGTCCAAAGCGCGGTTCTGGTGCCAGCTGCTCCAAAGTGCAGTGCCCCTAGGACAATCACACAAGCAGGCACTGGGGCCAGGCTGCACCCCAAAACAATATTTGGACCACCCCAAATGACACATCCCCACGCTCTGGGGACTGTGTCCTGCAAGGTGACATGCAGAGATGCCCGGTCCAAACACCGGTTTTGATGCCACGAGCTTCTGTTCGCAGGGCTTCCCCGAGGCCTGTATTTTAAAGCAGATTTGAATAAGGAAGTGCCCCCTGCACTCAAATTAAGGAATGGACCACCATATATCATATACCCCCACATTCACAGCACTCTCCCCTTCGAGGGGACATATGCGGTGTGCTGGTCCAAAGCGCGGTTCTGGTGCCAGCTGCTCCAAAGCGCACTGTCTCCAGGACAAACACACAGGATGGCACTGGGACAGACTGCACCCCAGAGCAATAATTGGACCACCCCAAACGACACATCCCCACACTCTGGGGACTGTGCCCTGCAAGGTGACATGCAGGGATGCCCGGTCCAAACACCGGTTCTGATGCCACGAGCTTCAGTTGCACCAGCTTCCGTTCGCAGGGCTTCCCTGAAGCCTGTATTTCAAATTTGAATAAGGAAGTGCCCCCTGCACCCAAAATAAGGTCTGGACCACCACATATCATATACCCCCACATTCACAGGACTCTCCCCTTCGAGAGGACATATGCGGTGTGCTGGTCCAACGTGCGGTTCTGGTGCCAGCTGCTCCAAAGTGCACTGTCCCCAAGACAAACACACAGGACAGCACTGGGGCAGACTGCACTCCAAAACAATATTTGGACCACCCCAAACGACACATCCCCACGCTCTGGGGACTGTGCCCTGCAA